GAATGGTAAGAAACAAGCCCAAGATTTCCATGTGCAAAAAGTCTCTTGACGAGGACAGGCCCTCCTTCAGCGCACACATGCTCTTTAAATCATGCGTGTATGTTGGAAACAGGAGTGCCTCCCCACCCCTCCCCCACAGATCCCTGGGAGTTGTAGACGTTGACTAGAGTGGTGATTTCTGTCCATCCTTTCCCCACATTTCTCGTAATATGTACCATGGGATATTGTTGTAGGGATCTCTCTTTATAATTTTTCTAAGGTCCAGTAAGTTTGAGAAGTGGTAGACTAAATAAAACTTTTGCCAGAGAATTGAGTGGGTGGAATTTCTCCATCACAAGTGGGAGTGGAGTTCTTACAATATCTTGAGAAAATTATCTAAGACTGGCATGGAAGAATGCGTGATTTTTTTTTTTTTTTTTTTATCCTCACCCAAGGACATTTTTCCATTTTTTTGTACAGAGAGAGTGGGAGGGAGAGAGAGGAAGAGAGAGAGAGGGAAACATCGATGTGGAAGGGACACATCGAGTGGCTGCCACCCGCACGACCAACCAGGGCCAGGGACAAACTGCAACCGAGGTACATGCCCTTAGCGGGAACCGAACCCGGGTCTCTCCGGACCGCAGGCGGACGCTCTAACCGCTGAGCCAAACCGGCCAGGGCCGAATGCGTGATTTTTATCTGTGTAGTTACATCCCTTGGTTTGCAAAGTCCCAGTTCACTTATGCCAGTACTGGAGGATATGCAGCTGGGGTTTCAGCAGAGCTAGAAGCAGGGCCAGTGTGCAGAGCTTCCACTTCATGGTGGAGTTGAGTCCAGCAGAGCATCAGGTAAGATTCAGTCCATCAGTCCACTGTGTGGGTCCCACATGGCCATGAGCCACGTGAGCAAATACAGGGGAGCACCCCCTGCAAGAGGACCGAGAGAGGGAACTCCCTTTGTTCAAGAGTTTAAATATTTCAGATTTTGAGCCCCTGCAGTGGCCACACCTTTTCTGGCCAATTACTTGTTTCCAGGTGTGATTGACACGTAAGCATCTCCCCACGTCACCTAGATCTTACTGGGTATGCAGCTATTATCCAGTCCCTTCTCCCATCAATCTGCGGGGAACAGACCTGGAGAGCGTTAACTGCAGCTTTCTGACAAAGCTGTATAAGTGGTATGCCCATATTATCTAGTCTCTGCTCCTTTTCTGTTAAGTAATAACCAGGTTATTACAATGGTTTCAAAGCTACACAGATATCTTTCCCACAGAACTGCTCAAGGCCTTTAATAAGCTACCTGGTATGGAAAATCATCAAACGCCAGTCACAATATATAGTCATCTACAAAGTCATTGCCGTGACCACAGAACTTTCCTTCCAGGAGCATCTAATAGGACTAGTATGCTAAAGGATACACTCTGGGTTGTGTCGTGATTGGTGGGTCCCACATCCAGCATGTCAGGATCACTTACACGTTTGTGATTATTGGCCCACCTCCTAAGGATGTTAACACCTGCAGTCTGGGGTCGGGTGTGGGGATCTGCTTATTAGTTGTTGTTTGTTGTTTTTTCTTAAAGCTTTCCTTATGATTTGATGATGACAACTGATCGTGAGGGCTTCAGAGATGCTATTCCTGGGACCCTCCTGGGACCTCACCAAAGAACTTGTACCCAAGTTCCTTTGTAGGTAAATAACACGTTTAAGTCAGAGAGATGCTGAAAACGTGTGAGCGTCTTTGTGACTTGGAGAAAACGTCTGGCCTGTTTCTGTGCCTTCAGAAGCCACCTCCTGACACTGTCGCCACCCTCGTGTATCCACGTTCGAGTTCACCATCAGAGCCACGGAGCTTCCCCCAGCTCTCGTCACTCATGCCAGTTTGGTCTGTCTCACAGTTCTCTCTCCCGTTCCATTTCTCTGTATCTCGCCTCTCTGCAGGACCATATTCAAAGGAGAACCCGATTAAATATTGGGGGGGTATCCCCCATAGCACTCATACAGAGTTGAACAAATAGTTAAATGCTCCATAATTGCAGAGAAACCAAGGGACCCAAAGGACGTTGCCCCCAAATGGCACCCCACCAACATTTTAAATGGACAATCATGGGTGTTTTATCGCTGTGGTGTAGCTATTACAATGGACACATTTAAAAGACTAATCTGAAAGGTTAATTTTAAAATAGCAATATTGACAACATCTAGAAATTAAATCTATTTAGAACTATAACTATTCAACCATGAGATGGGAAATACTTGCTGTCAAGTTAAAATAATAAGCAAGGAGGTTCGTAGTTTTTCAGAATTCTTATGGGAATATGTGAGCCAAAGGTGTGATGGCCCCTGCTCTAGAGAACAATGTTGGGGAGGCTGGTGGCAACAAGAGGAGGCTTGGGATCAGGCAGGGAAGCCTTGGTAGAAATGCCGGCTTCACCCAGCTCGGAGGGTTAAAACTGCCGTGCCTGGCACAGAGCCAGCGCGCCCTCCATTCAACCACTCGCTGCCGTGCGCCGCCAACACACAGACGGACAGCGGGGCACGGACGCAAGTCCCTGCGCCCACGGAGCGTCCACTCTGATGAACATGGGCCGTTGATCCCTTGTTTCTGTGCAAACGCACGTTGGCCTCATTTCTAGAGAGCCTCTAAACGTACTTTATTCTCAGGCAATTTTTAGGAACTGTTTCTACAAAGAAATGATTCGTCGTTGGATATTCCAGTACAGATCTGTCTAGATTTCATTGTTTCCATCAGAATGATCACCTGAGGAGGCAGTACATGTATTTCAGTAACGGGGCCGTTACACCAAAGTCTTTAAGCTTCTCCTGTGGAATTGACTTCAAAGCCTACAGCACAGTCTTTTGCACATCCTAAATGCTTGTAAATATTTGTCTTTGGAGGACGGATCTGATGTTTTGGAACAAAGGTTGTTCACACAAAGGTCTGGTGACCCTGGTGGATGATCAAACTAGGCGGGGATATTATTTGTTTCCAACTCTGGAAGAGCATAAATCAGGAAGTCGGCTTCCTCGTGGGAAGGAGAGTCAAGAGATACCATGTATTCCCTTTGCAGCGAGGTCGAGGGGACATCCTGGCTGTGTCAGGCCTACTTGGCTGTGAAGTCGCTTGAAGGTTCTCTGGTCTCAAACTTCAGGGAGGGAGCTTCCCGGGGCTGTCAGAGGCCCGAGGCACCCACTACTTTAGTTCTGCTTATTCCACTGCAGCGACCCCCCTCCACGCAGCGCCTCTGGGGCCTGCAGCCGGCAGAGCCTGAGCACTGGGGTTGCTGTCCTGGAAGGACCCAGGGCTGAGGGGGCCAGGGCCACGCAGTGGAGGGAGCTCCGGGGCCTGAGCCTGTGTCTACATTGTGTTTGAGTGTTTATTGGGTCTGCACCTGCAAGACCTGAGTGTCCAAGGATTAATCACTGTCTGCCGAGAGAATGAGTCCAGTGTGGGCAGAGGGGGTGGAATGTGAGATGGGGACAGGCCAGACAAGGACTACAGAATCTGGCGAGTGTGGCTGGCTGGCTGTCCACTCTGCGTATCACTTCTGTCACTTCTGTGGCCACAGAGCACTGGGCAAAAGCTCTAGGGAGGGCCCTCAATTCTCAAAGGAAAATTGTTGGGTTTTGTTTTTTTTCAGTATAAGTTTGCACTGTATTTTACTACTTTCTTATTCTTCCTCAATAGTTCTCTGGCCCTATACTTAACAGGACCCACCCCATCCCTGTGCCCAGAGCTGAGCTCGGTGCTGAGCTCTCAGCAGCTTGAACCTCCTTGGAAAGATAGTCGTAATGATATGCATACGGCCTGTCGAGGAAGGCTGGCCAGGGGTTCCATCTCAAATGTCAGCTCCCGCTAATTGGTGACTTCACGGGGTGTTTCATCAGATCTAAGACAAAATTGATTGTAAGATGCTGTTTTATGTGTTCTTGAGAAAAAGATGCCGCCAATTAAACTGTGATTGCTTTCCTACTTACAATGTTTAGTTTATACTTATTGAAACGTCCTTTTTAGACTTAGACATAATACTATTTTTAACACGTACTGCTCTTTTTCATCCATAAAGACGACGATAACAGGGAACTGAGCTGGCTGTGGAGCCCCAAGCTCCTCCACCCTCAGGGCACCGCCGAGGGAAGCACCTGACCGGGAGTGGGCGTCTCACTTCCCACACAGTGCGCTTCTCTGTGGTCGGGGCCCCGGGGAGACCGCACTTCTTACAAGAGGACTCCTGACTTTTCTCCCAAATCTCTGGTCCTGTTGTGCAAACACACGTGCACACAGGTAACCACAACCACAGCACGGCTGCCACCTGGCAACCGTGGCTGTAAACGCACCTCGATGTCCAAGACATCATTCTGGACAAACATGCAGCTTGGACTCAATGAAGTGCGGATTCTGAGATTCAGTCAAAGAAAGACTACATTCTGGCCCTGACCGGGGGGCTCAGTTGGTTGGGACTTTGTCCCATACACCAAAAAGTTGTGGGTTTGATCCCCAGTCAGGGTGCATACAGGACGTGACCAACCGATGCTTCTCTCTCACATCGTTTCTCTCACAGTGGTGTTTCTCTGTCTGTCTTCTTGCCTTTCTCTCTAAAATCAGTAAAAACATATCCTTAGGTGAGGATTAAAAAAGAGAAATACTCCATTCTTGTCCTTAAACAAGAATTTCCTCCCGTATAATTTGCAAAACTGAATGATTCCCAGTGCCGCCGTCACTGTGGGGAGTCCCCTGGGATCAAGCAGAGTCTGAAAGGCTGGATGCATGAAGTGGTGTAAAGGGGTGAGATGTGGCCTAGACAGGAGACCGCTTCCAGAGAGGGGAGAGCACAACTTGGAAGGTTGTCTTGTGGACAGGACAGTGTGGCAACGGGTGTGGGTGGGGTTCAGTTAGGGAGTGTAGGTTATAAAAGCATGAGTTTTTGCTCCAAGAACGTAAGTTCAAATTAGTGTGCTTCACTGGTAGAAAAATAATTCCTGGTTCTCATATTGCCATAACTTTCATTTCTTTTCTCACCATAGGCCCCGATGTGTTTAGTTCCAAGAGCCTTGCCCTTCAAGCCCAGAAGAAGATTCTGAGCAAAATAGCCTGCAAAACTGTGGCCAACATGTTGATTGACGACACCAGCAGTGAGATCTTTGATGAGCTCTACAAAGTCACCAGAGAGCACACCCACAACAAGAAGGAAGCCCACAAGATCATGAAAGACTTAATCAAGGTGGCGATCAAAATCGGGATCCTCTACCGGAACAACCAGTTCAACCAGGAGGAGGTTGTCGTCGTGGAGAAGTTCAGGAAGAAGCTGAACCAGACCGCCATGACCATCGTCAGCTTCTACGAGGTGGACTACACCTTCGATAGGAATGTGCTCTCCAAGCTCCTACAGGAGAGCAAGGACCTGGTGCACGATCTGGTGCAGCGGCACCTAACACCCCGGACCCACGGGCGCATCAACCACGTCTTCAACCACTTTGCTGACGTGGAGTTCCTCTCGACCCTTTATAGTCTGGAAGGAAACTGTAGACCCAGCCTCAAGAGGATTTGTGAAGGAATCAATAAATTGCTAGATGAGAAAGTCCTCTGAACAGTGCCCCTCCTCCTGGACTTTGCTGCATTCAAGTGACAGCGCCCAATGTGGTCTGGGTGAGAATCAAGAAAACAGGAAGAAATCCTTGTCAAAGATGCCCATGTTCTGTCCTTGTCACCCCTCTGATGTTGATGCCGAATTGAGCTTGGGTGTGTTTATCCCCCTGTTTATCCCCCGAGCTCGCTGATGCGATCTGTACTGAAAATCACTTTTGTTTGCCAGCCCAGAGGACGTTGCATCTGTCTGAGCAGAAAGGCTGCCCTGCCCGTCAAGGAGAGCTCGGTGCATCTTGTGGAGTGGAAGGAGCCCTGGCCCCGAGGCAGAGGACATGGGTTTGGTTCCCTGCTCCACCAGTTACAACTCTGTCCTCTGAATCCTAGAACCACAACGCCCGCCTGCCTGCCTCCCAGGGCTGCTGTGAGGATCAAATGAAACAATGTATGTTCAGGCTTTTGAAAACGTAACTGTGGGGTCTTCTTTTCTCTTCAGAGTGTAGAGGGGATCGACCTGGATCTAGACGATTAAGCAGCAAAGAACAGAACAAGTCTCTGATGGGCTGGGTTTACAATCTCTCTCTAGATGTGCTATTGCAAACACATTAAAAATGCATCTATGGGTGTGAAAAAGTATAGCCGCAAATTGGGAAAATGTTTTTTTAAGAGCTCTGTTTCTTAGATCTTAGAGGTGCAGGTTTACGATCTCCAGTGGGGGGTAGAGTTTCCCACTCACCAGGCAGAAGCTGAAAACTGTGCCCCCGCTGCGGGACCGGCCGTCCCTCCACGAAGGGGCACACACCGTTGGCTCAGGGAGGGTTGATTCCAGCATGCACACGAGAGTCAGGCAAAGGGAACCCCTATCCGTCTTTCTTGGCCTTTCCTAGTCATTTTGTGATGTTCTGTCTGGTTTGTTAATAAATTGAAATTACCCTTCCAACAAGAGGTTTTGGAATTGTGATTCAAAAATAAAATTCCTGCCCTGGCTGGGTGGCTCAGTTAGTTGGAACATCATCCCATGCACCAAGGGGAGGTTGCGGGTTTGAGTCCCAGTCAGGGCATGTACTGGAGGCAACGAATTGACGTTTCTCTCTCACATAAATGTTTTTCTCTCTCTTTTTCCCTTCCTTTCTCTCTAAAATCAATAAACATATCCTCAGGTGAAGATAAAAAATAAAATAAAGTTCCTTGGAGTTAGATACAGTGTTGAGAATAATGGGATTTGCCATAGCCTGTGATGTTCAGTGGTTAGAGTACCGGCCTATGCACCAAAGAGTCCTGGGTTTGATTCCTGGTCAAGGCACATACCTGGGTTGCAGGTTTGATCCCCAGCCCTGGTCAGGGTGCACTCAGGAGACAACCAATCAATGTTTCTCCCTCTCTCTCCCCCTCCCTTCCTTCCACTCTCTCTAAAAATCAATGGAAAAAATATCCTCAGATGAGGATTTTTTAAAAAGGAGGGGCCTTAGCTGGTTTGGCTCGTGGACCAATGAGTCACGAGTTTGATTCCAGCCAAGAGCATGAACCTCAGTTGAGGTTCATCCCTGGCTCTGGTCAGGGTCATGCAGGAGGCAACCAGTCAATGTGTCTCTCTGACATCATGTTCCACTCTCTCTATCCTCTCTCTTCCTCCCACTCTATATAAAGATAAATAAAACAATATCCTCAGGTGAGGATTAAAAACAAGAAAGGGATTTAAAGAAAGAAGAAAATGAGGAGCAAGGCCTCTGCACTTAGACCCTAAGGGACGTAGCCCCAGGGGAAACCAGGTGGGGCTGTGTGCTGGTCAGGAGGCGAGCCAGCTCGGACTCGGAGACTACCTGCTCCCAAGGTCACAGCCTCGCTTCACACAGTGGCTTCTGGCATCTTTCCACCATAGTCTTAGCATCTGGACAGTGTCCTGCAATGTCTGGAGGACACCACATTGAGAGACGTGCTCTTCCTGCATCACCTCCTGTCCACTGCTTCTTTTGTAAAATCCTGCATAGCTCAGCCCCATGGTTCATCCCACCCCATGGTCTCTCTCTAGCAGGAGCATCAAGAGATGTACCCGGGGCCAGTGTGGCTCAGTGGATAGAGCGTCGGCCTGTGCACCAAAAGATCACAGGTTCGATTCCTGGTCAAGGGCATATATCTGGGTTGCAGGTTTGATCTCCGGCCCCGGTTGGGGCGTGTGTGGGAGACATTCAGTCAGTATATCTCTCCCTCTCCCTCTCTCTCTAGAAATCAGCGGAGAAAATATCCTCAGGTGAGGATTAACCAAAAAAAGAGGCCGATGGTTTGTTGGAGTGCATGAACAAAACCACAGTGGCCTTTTAGCCTCAATGGCTCCCATGTCAGCATCAGTGCAGCCCATTCAGTTACGTTCTTCAGCTACCAGCACTCAAACTAGTTCATAGGATGTCCGGGGGGTATTGGAGAAGAGCTAAGTCAGCCCTTCTCCATATGTGACAGGCACGGATGGCCTGGTGCCTCCTCGTAGACCCGAGGAGATCTTTTCATTGATTTTTAGACAGAGTGGAAGGGGGGGGCACCGATGTGAGAGACACATCGATCGGTTGCCTCCTGCACAACCCTGACCGGGGCTGGGGATCAAACCTGCAACCCAGGTACATGCCCTTGACCGGAATCAAACCCTTTGGTCCACAGGCCGACGCTCTAACTGCTAAGCAAAACCGGCCAGGGCTGTAGACATTTTCAACAATGAGAACTCACAAAAGCCGGATTAGCATGTTTATATGCAAGTGGCACCTGAAATAAAACTGATTTCAAAACAAGCGACAATACAAAACCACTCAGTTGATCAGGCCCCGCACAAACCAGAGGGCAATGCCTGGCTGAGCAAATCCAAGGCAGAGACGGGACTCATTCTCTGAGGGAGGGGGAGGTGGGTGGCAGCTTGTCTGTCATCTGGAAACACGAGAGTCCCCAACCATCCCTGAACTCTCAGCTGTCCCCCCCCGGGAGGACATCGGGGTTCACGCCCCAGCCCTGCTCAGGCGTCCCCGTGTCTGAACTCTGCGGAAAGGCTTCCCGCCGGCTGTGCCTGCCATGTGTCCATCACTCCTCCTCTGTGTTTGCATCTGTGAGTCTTGACACCCTCAGCCACTCCAGGGCTCTGCTCAGTGACAAATCAAAATGAAAAGACTTCTCCATCTGTGCGTCTCCTCCAAACTCCCGTCTCCCCCATCTGCACATTTCTCAGAAGCAAATCAGTACATTCACTGGCTGCCAGTGAACTGTGGTCCTTTACACATAGAAGAGAGCTCAGATCAGGCCTGCGTGCCCTCCGCCCCAGTATCTTTGGGGCTCTTTTTTTTTTTTAATTGAACATAGTCCCAGATGTCAAGAGCAAAACCAATCAGTGAAAATTCTAGATCAGCCAACTGGCTGCCAAGATACTGCATTAGCAGAAGCTGTCCAGTGACTCACTGGGGTCCTGACAACTATGAATCAGGTGGCCTTGGAGGAGGGGGTGACCAGGGCCCTCCCAACTCAGAACTCTGCAGTCAGTGGGTTCCCCTTATTTCATCTGACCCTGCTACAGGGCTACACCCCAGACCACGCCCACTGCTCTTTCCTTAGAGGAAGGTCTTGCTTGTTAAAGACTCTTCTACAACTCTGTTCCTCAAAATACCTCCTAGGAATCCTTGACATTTCTGGAGTGGGTGAGCCGGAGGGGGCAAGAGTCCATGAGTTCTAAAAGGAGTTTTAAGATTTTTATTTCAGCCCTGGCCGGTTTGGCTCAGCGGTTAGAGCGTTAGCCTGCGGTCTGGAGTGACCCAGGTTCGGTTCCCGCTAAGGGCATGTAACTTGGTTGCAGTTTGTCCCCGGCCCTGGTTGGGTCGTGCGGGTGGCAACCACTCGATGTGTCCCTTTCACGTCGATGTTTCTCTCTCTCTCTCTCTCCCTCCCACTCTATCTGAACAAAAAATGGAAAAATGTCCTCGGGTGAGGATAAAAAAAAAAAAGATTTTTATTTCAATCTAACTTTTTATTTAGAAAATCAAAATCTGGCTTCAGGGTTTGAGTTCCTCTTTGTGTTTACAAAGTCATTCATGCTGATCAATCAACTCCAATGAGAGAAAAGAATTTAACTTAATATGTTTCTCTAACGAGGCCTGGGAATCCCCTAGGGGTCTGCAGGCATAGTTGGCATCTATGAATTCACAATTTCGAGACATGTTGCTACAACATATGAAAGACAAGGCTTCTGGAAAATGAGTGTCACCCTGCCTTTGATGGTGACTCATTGGTGGGGCCTCAAAGGCTGAAGGGTCCACCTGTGTCTGGGGGACACAGAGGCAGGCTCCCACATGTCCTGCCTGCTCTTTGAACACTGGCCAGGTATAGCTACCACACATAAATTAAAGAATTGACACACCTGTCCTGGCAGTCCTAATAATAAATCTCAAAGGGACAAGAGAGGCCGTTGCTGGACCTGCTGGGCACTATTGCTCCTGAGGAAAGGAATCGTGGAGGAAGTTTGCAAAGGTTCCAAGTGTGTGTGGTTCCAGGATCCCAGTAGCTTCATCTCTGGTTGAACTGGAGGATAAGGCACGTGGCACTCAGAACTCCTCCCAGCCCCAGAGGAAGGAGGTCATCAGAGGCAGCCGCCTCTCACCCCACCCCCACGGCACCCAGTGCCCCACACCTGTCCTTGCCCTCGACCAACGCATGCATCAATGAGTGGAACAACAAATCAATGTTTCTCTCTCTCTCAGTCTCAAAATAATCAATAAAAATTTTTTGTCCTTCCTTTGCTGAGCTGGGGCAGATCTCTACAGAGGAGGTGTTCTGGCCGCCCACCCAGGCAGCTGGAGCTTGGGCAACTGGACCCCCCAGGCCACAGTATAGAGCTCCTCCTTGCTGACTGCTAAGGCCTTTCTGGACCAGTTCCTGGGACAAGGAGTCTGGGGATTGGCTCCGCCTCAAGGAGGGGCTGGGCAGGAGCCAGAGCTTGGCACAGAGCGAATGCTGAATGCCCAGGCTAACAGGGAAGCAGCAATTAGGTTACGTTGGGAGGG